GAGGGAGGGAGGGAGGGAGGGCATCTGATCTTACCACCTCAGTTCGCTGCCCAAGTCCCCTCTTGCCCTGCCAGTTCTCTGATCCTGCATCTCACAGAAACAAGTAACTGTAATTATATTCTCAGAGCATTCTGCAACCTTTTGAAACCATCCTTCAAACTCAGATGTTGCAAGTTGAGGCTTGGGGGATTTGTTCAGCAAATCACCCAAAGTCATTCTTGCAAGAAAGCAGAATTCAGAGCAGAGAAAAAAAAAAAAGGCGCTGGCTCCTTTCTGCTTGAACCTGTCAGCAGAGTCCTGGGATGGGGGAATTGGAGGAGACAGAGATGGACCTGGCCCTACAAAGGCAGTATTATCTAGGCCCATCCTTTAGATCATCTTGCTGTTGGTCCCTCCCCCTACATGAATGGGACGTGATACTAACTTGAAGATCTCTGTAAAGAGTAAAGTTCAATGTGCTTCAGAGCCTAATAACACACCTTTAGCAAATCCCTCTCTATTTCCCTCCAACCTCCAATCCCATCCTCATGATTATAAGAGCCAATGGCCCCATTCTCCCAGAAACCCCATCCCCCAGACTTGCTCCTCCAACTTCAGGGTCAAATCCAGGCAGTGTCAAGTGAATGGAAATGCAGGAGGGCACAACACAAGTCCTGTGAGTCAGACCCTACGTCTCATGTGAATTCTCTGATGCCCCTATGAGCAAGACAACTTGCCCCCACATCTCCTGCCTCTCCTGTGGGACATTGCACCCTTAGGGTTCCCACCAATCTTAAAGCAGCAGTTGTTTTGCACACCTACACTTGATCACCTGGCAAACACCAGACTTCTCTACAGCATACATCAATTACTACTGTGCAAAACACACATTTCCGATTTCTCAAATTACCAACTACAACAGCTCCAAGGTCCTGGCATATAATCAATTTCCACAAAGAATTCATTTCTATTCACATCTTCCCTTCACCCTGACCCTGTCAACAGACTATTTCAACAGTTGTGTTTTCCAATAAAACCCATGGAACTCCACAAGTGCAACAGGCTACTCGCTGGTCTGTCTCCCAACACTAGTTTCAAAAGCCTTTCCAAATACACTCATGACACCACTCCCTGGCCTACCGTCTCCCCAGTACACCCAGGATAAAAGTACAATTCGTCTGTCTGGCTTTCTAGGACTTTCACAATCTCAGCCATTGTTACAGCTTTATCTCTTAGGTTCAGGACCCACTCCAAAGCAGCCAAGGCCATCTCCTGGTCTCTACAGAAAGCTATGTTCATTACCACATCATGGCCCATCTCCAGGGTCTCATCTTCAAGATGAGGAGACCCAAGGCAGGGTGATCCCTGTCCACAGCTCTCTGCTCTGAGCTCCAACAGCACCCTATTTCTACACCTGGCATTTTGACAGTTAACTGTGCCCTATCTGGAGTCTAATTTCACATGCTCAAGTCTGTGTCCTCCGTGAACTTAGAAAGTCCTGGAAGGAATCACCCTGTGAATCTTTTGTACCTAGTTTCTAAGACCCTTTCTGGTCATCCTTCTACAAGCTTCCGAGGTGCTACCCTTTCTCCTGACTTTGAGTCTTGCCAGTGAATTATCCACAGGCAGAAATTATTTCAAACTGAGTGTTCCAAATCCCCTTCCCCACCTTAACAGCCATGCTTACTGGCTCGCTTTAACATTAACTTACAGAGCCACAGCACATTAAATTTAGGCTCCTAAATCATTTTCCTCCAGTCTGAAGGCTTCCTGAGAACTTAGAGTTTTCCTGTGATTCTAAACATCTCCTAGAGCCTGGCAGTGTACTGAGATCACAGTAGCTTCTCCGAGGGCCCTGTGGAGTTAACTAATTGCTTGTGTTACAGGGTCCTCCAGAAAAGAAACCTCTGTTTGCACAGCCCCTTAGGAAGGTGTCTCCAGGCCTTCAATACCTGTTGATCACCCACTCTGAAGCAAACTGCCTCACTTGCACCTTTCTGGATAGCAGTGTAGGGAAAGAAGTGAGGCCTGTGGATGGCCTGTGGCGTGGCCTGGCATCATGGGGAGCCCATGCCTGGTGGAAGGTCTCCAGCACCACAGGAAAGGGAGGGGTGGAAAACAGAACGCAGGACTGCTGGCAGGTGGGTCTCTTTAAGATCTCGGAGTGGGCCCTAAAGTGAAGGCGCAGAGCCTGAACTCCCAGGCAGGGAAAAGGAACGCTGCCTTTGAAATTGTTTGCACATGACAAACTCCCTTTCCAGGCCCCCATCGGCCACCCCACAGGCCCACCGCGCCAGGGCCAGAGAAAAGACCCGGGGAGGTCCGAGGAGAAGAGGGGACCGCGAGGGTAGAGGCCAGAAGCGGGGTGCAAGAGGGTGTGTCCCGAGGCTAGTCCGGCAGCCCTGCGCTCTCCGGATCGCGGGAGCCGAGAGGGCAGCGGCGCGCGGGGCCCAGCAGGAAAGCAGGCAAATTAACAGGTCAGCCGGGTGCCGGCCACTCCCGGCCACCGCTCAAAGTTGGGAGGGGGACGTGCAGCACGACCCGCGGGGGAGGCACGAACGGGGCGAAGCGCCACGGGGCGGGCGACCACCCCCACCCCGCCACCCGGCCCCCGCCGCGGCGCCCCCGCGCTTCGCCTGGGCCTCCCCGGTGCCCCCAGCTGGCACCCGGGCCCCGCGGGAGTACTAAGTTCCCGCTCCCCGCTCCCCCG